GGCAGTGGGAACAGACGGAACTTACGTGCTGAGGAGGCCAAGTTCTGGAAGCAGCCTGGTTCCAGGAGCCAGGTGTGATAGAAGCGGGGTGAGGCTGAGTGCCACAGTGAGGTTTGGGGCACAACTGAGATGACTGGGCGCTCAGTGAGGAGTGTTGTCAGCTCTCTGTTGCTGTGACAAAATACTTGGGACAGTCATCTGATAAGGAGGACAGCTCCAGGGCCAGAGCTGTCTGTCCAAGGTTGGCCCTTTTGCTCTGGGCCTATCAGGGCAGAACGTGGCAGAGGTGCATGGGGCAGAGGTGGCTTCTTCCGCACAGTGGTCAGGAAACCAAAATCGAGAAAAGAGGGGCAGGGTGTCCATAGCCCATGAGGCCACGCCCCCGACGGCCTGAGGCCCCGCCTCCTAGACATGCCACGCCCCTCCGGAAGAGCAGCACAAGCTGCGCCCAAACCCTGAGCACTTTCTGCTGCGTACCAAGGAGCAGGGCTGCTCTCTGAGCGCTTCTCCCTAAACCTCTGTAAAACAGGCCATATGGTTCAGTGCGCAGTGTCATGGTTATGGGACACCGAGGCAGGGAGTCACCTTGAGACTTGTGAGCACGGGTGGAGGGGGCCCGGTGAGAGCAGCAAGGACTCACGTGGAGTGAGAGCCCAAGAAAGGGCTGTAAACTGTAAAGTGCAGTCACAAGGTGTGCAAATGGTCCACACTGAGGAGGAGGGAAGGGCGATTCCACGTGCAAGGATGGCAAACAGGTGGCAGGAGTCCTGGGGAGACAATGGCAGTCCCGGTTCCCAGCACCCAGCGCTGCAGACAACCTCTGCCCTTCCCACGGGACAGACGGGCTCACTGAGGCTCACGAGGAAAAGAGACTTGGGCGGATTCCAGTGCTGGGAATGACAGGCACATCCGGGAGCCCACGCCTGGTGCGTACTGGTTGGGTTTCCTTGGAGAGGAGAGGCTGGAGCCCTCTTGGGCGTCAGGAAGCCACCCTCAGGGCCGGCAGCAGAACCCGCCATGTCCCAGCTTCTCTGCTGCTGTCTGTGACTCAGGAGAAATTCATCAGATCTCAGATGCCTCTGAAAATTTGGTTTTTGGAGAGTTTTGTTCATTAGCCTTACAAGTTTAATAAATTGAGACTTAAACAAACCAATAAAAACAGAGGTGCCAGAGATGTGTTCACGCAGCTTGGGACCCTTCAAGGGAGGGATGTCCCCACATGTGGGGTCTCCTACTGCAATCATGGACGATTCCACCAAGAGGGGAAAGTAAGGACGTGTGCATATGTCAGAGACATTTGGTTTGCTTTCCAGGACCACCCCCCATCACAGGGGTGGACAGAAACCATGGAGGCAGCACCTGGGCAGGGCACAGGGCACACCAGCATCCCCAGGGCAGGGAGGCAGCATCTAGGATGCGGCGTGTAGCCTTAAACAAGTAGCCACCCTCTGCCCCTCAGTGTGCTCCTCTGTAAAATGGGCCCCAGGCAGCAGCCTCCTTCAAGGTCTGCAAGGCCCTCACAGGGCAGGCGAAGGAGACAGACAGGGTGGGGGCCAGGCGTGCTGGGGCCAGCTCAGGCCAGCCAGGAGCTAGGACGGTGGGCCGGAGGCCCACGTGGGACCTGTGGATCACAGGGGCCTCTGCTGGGATGAGCTCCACGGGCATTCTGGACATGTCGGGCAGGAGAGGACGGAAGGGCTGATTGGGTGGAAGCCCTTCCCAGGCCTGAGCACGGCCAGGGCCTTTAAATGGACCCCATCTTCCATCCCGACAGCCTCAAATTTCACTTCCATCATCCTCGTTTTATTTTTGGTACCAGGAACTGAACTCAGGACCTCGCACTTGCCTGGCAGTCGCTGTACTGCTGTATCCTCAGCCCATCATTCCCATCTTATGGATGAAGCATTCGAGGCACAGAGAGGTTAAATGTCCTGCCAAAAGTCACATGGAGCCAGGGCCTATAGCTCAGAGGCAGAGCACATACATTCTAACAATGCACAAGGTCCTACGTGCGATCTCCAACACCACACACACAGACACACACACCTTGTAGAGCCAGGATAAAAACCCAGGCCATACCCTCTCTGCTGGCCACAGAGCCCTGCCTCATGTGCTAAGGAGCAAACAGCCAGGTTGAGTCCATTATACAGATCAGTAAGCTGAGGCTGAAGTCAGAGGATCCCTTGCTGTGAGTGGGAGAAGCAAGCCTAACTCCGATGGCTGCTCCCTGTGACTGGCCTGGTTCTCCCAGCTGGTTCCAGAGTCCCTCCAAGGCAGGAGGGACTAACAAGGAGGGGACCTGCTGGCGCCCCAGCCGCTCTGACACACAGTTAGCTCTCACCCCACCCCTGCATGGTACACAAAGGCAGCCCCATAACTGGGAGCAAGTATTTCATGCGTCCCCCCCGATGTTTTATTGGGTGGAGAGATGGTTGGAGACCAAATGGATGGCGCATTCCGTTTATAAAGTGCGTGCCGTGTGTTTTATTTCCCGGGCTTTTGCAATCTAGATAACAGATGATGCCCCGAGTGGCAGGCGCTGCCTCCTAATGGCGGCACCGAGCCTTTGGAGAAGTATTAATAATAGATTGTGTTGATGAGTTTGGAGAAAGTAGCAATCGACCCCCTGCTGCCAAGGCATTAGCGCGGCTGTTCTAACCCAGCCAGCACTGAGCCCCGCGGAGGCGGTCACCCGCCCGCTGCCCCCTCCAGCTGCTGGAGAAGCCTTCTCTGGAGGCAGGCTGACCCTGACCAGGAGCCCTGGCCCCGTCCTCTGTGCTCAAGGCCAAGCTGGACTTTATAGCGGGCTGAGCACACGGGGCAGTGAGGGGATGAGGCAGGAGCAGCAAGCCCTCAGCATGGCTGGATGGCCAGCAGAATCCCAGGAGCCTCTGCCTATAGCCACCATGGACAGGTGGGCAGGTTGTGGCCTCAGTAAAAATATCCAACCCAAGGGCCAAATCAGCTGAAACCCAGAAGTCCCTTTCACCTTGCAAAGCAGGCACTGTGTGGGCTCGAGGGGTCCTGCCTGGACTCAGCCCACTTGAGGCTTTGCTTCCCTGCTCCACACACGCACACAGGCCTCCTTGAGGAGGACCAGGACCAGGTCCTGCCTGTGGGACCCCAGCAGAACTGGGCACCATGGGGACCTGCCTTGTCACCCCACAGTGATATTCATGGAATTCACAGCCTTTTGATAGTCACCCTGTTGGTGTGCCCATTTTGCAGCATGCAAACTGAGGCCAGAGGGAAGCTCAAGGTGGCCTCCCCACACTGGGACATCAGAGAGGGCTTCCCAGAGGAGGTGGCATTGGAGTTGGGTATTGCAGGATGAGTAGGAGCCTGCCAGGAAGAACAGAGGGGCCAGGGTCACTGAGGGTGCCCCCAAGCTGGATGCCCTGGCCAGTGTGGGCAGTGGACAGAGCTGGGCTTGGCCTGGTCCACCGCACCCGGGCTGCTCACCGTGGGCGGTGCTGATGGCAGCCCGGGGAAGGCAGGCAGGCCGAGAGCCTCGCGTTTATGGCCATTCCTGTTCCAGAACCGATTAGTGGAGAATTGCAGCTGTAATCTGCGCCCGGGATGGCGGGCCATAAAGAGGGATGGGATGCGCGCGGCGCTCCCAAGGTGGCGCCCGCAGACGTGGCCCGGGGACGCAGAGAATGAAAAATGGTTTTAATTCCCTCCCAGCAGCAATAATTTGATTCTTCATAAATTTTTCCATCAAAGTGTTGTTGAGGCTGAGTTCCCGCCGAGCAGGGCGCGTGACTGGGAGGGCGCGCGCCGGGAGGAGTGGTCAGCGCGCGCGCGCCCAGGCGGGGCTGTGCGCGACCCCCTGCACCTGCAGCCTGGGCGCGCGCACCGCGGGGCGGGGCGTCCCCGAGCCAGCCTCAGTTCCGGCGTCCCCAGGCTCTGCGCCAAGCCCTGCTGGCCCTAAGCATTGATGCTCCTCCCAGCGCCTCCATCTCCTCATCTCTAAAATGGGGGCAAGGCTCGGGCGATTGGCGGCGGTGGCGGCAGCCCAGCTGCGCGTGCACAGTAAAGTGCCTGGTCCCAGGCACGGTACCCAAGCTGAATGAGGGACAAGAAGACGCCATCCAGCAGGGTGTGGTGGCACAAGCCTGACACCTCGGCCCTCGGGAGGCTGAGGCAGAAGGATTGAAAGTTTGAGCCCCTGCTGGGCAATTTAGCAAGACCTCGTCTTAAAAAATAAAGAGCTGGGTGCTGCTCAGTGCAAAGGCCTGGGGTTCGGGGCTGGGGATTGAGCTCAGCGGCATAATTGCCTGCCTTGTAAGCGGGTGGTCGTGAGTTCGATCCCTGGTACCGGTTAAAAAAAAAAAGGCCTGGGGTTCAATCCCCAGCACCGCAAAAATAAAAAGAAGCCACAAGGACAGCACATGCCAAAGGGCCACCGAGATGGTGCTTTGAAGAAACTGCTGTCCTGTTTGGCAGCAGCTGGGCAGCAGAGGATGGGCAAGTGGGGCGGGGGAGGCAAGATCCCGGGGGCCCTCAGTGCCCGGGTCAGGAGCTTGGACGACCTCCTAAGGGCTCTAGAGAGACATGGAGGACTCCGGGGCAGGGCAGGTGCGCAGTCAGATACCTATTCTAAGATCCGCTGCTGGGTGAGAGTGGAAGACGGTGAAGCGCTAGAGGGCGCCGGAGGCAGGCAAGGGCTCTGGGGCAGCTGTTGGGCGGGGAGGTCTTCAGGATAGGCAGCCCAGGGATGGGGATCGCTTGGAAGCGGGCTGAGGAGCAGAGGCCCTGGAGCAAGTGGCAGAGGGTGGGACCCGGGCTGACCCCGCACAGTGCCCCCTGCTGGCCACGTGCCTCTGAGCTGGAAGGGTCCTGCACTGACCATCGGAGGGGCGCCTCTGGCAGGGGTCCCCGGAAGCTCCCAGCCTACGGGGATGCTGAGTGGGGCTCAGGCCCTCCTGTCTGTCCCCCTGGGCGGCAGGGGGAGAGCTCCCCGGGGCCCAGCCCACGCACCTGCTTTGTGCCCACAGGCTCTTTGCTGCCAAGTGCAGCGGCTGCATGGAGAAGATTGCACCCACGGAGTTCGTGATGCGGGCGCTGGAGTGCGTGTACCACCTGGGCTGCTTCTGCTGCTGCGTGTGTGAGCGACAGCTGCGGAAGGGTGACGAGTTTGTGCTCAAGGAGGGCCAGTTGCTATGCAAGGGTGACTACGAGAAGGAGAAGGACTTGCTCAGCTCCGTGAGCCCCGATGAATCCGACTCCGGTGAGCCCGGGCAGGGGGGTGCAGGCTGCAGGAACCTGAGCTGCCTGAGCACGTGGACACACATAGGTCCCCACTTACTTGGATATACACGTGACTCTGCACACTCAGGCTGCGTGTGCATGCTTGTACGCATTCTTACATGTACTGTGGTTTGTGCACACACACATATACATGCACTTGTTCTCTGGGGAAATCTGGGGGTGGCTGGCACCTGGCTGCTCCTGCCCACTGGGGAAGGACTTAGCAAGGATAGTGGGAGTAGTGGGAGATTCCTTGGGCCTCCCCATGGGGTGTCCGGGACCCACAGTCCCAGAGTCTGCTCATACAGCTAAGCTCTATCCCTGCCAGGGCCTGGGTGGAGGAAGTGAATCATCCTGCATCTGTCCCCGTTAGGGCACCACCACAGTGGGGCCCATGCTGCCAGGATTCCTCTTGCCAGGGCTAGAAGAGGGGACACCCCTCCAAGGGGCTCACTGCTGAAGATGACAGGTCTGGGAAGAGGAGACCCCTCCCTCGGGGGAGGAGGCCCGTGGTGGGCGGGAGTCCCAAGCAGAAGTGCCGCAGATCACACCCACGTGTCTGCCCAGGAGCACGTGCCTTGGGTGCCACCTCTGTGAGCTCCTGTGTCTGGGCCCACATGCCAGCCTATGTGTGTATGTGCCCCTGGGTGAGTGTGCTACTGTATGCACACATATTTGTGAGCAGGGGTCTGGGACATCTGTCTTTGCCTGTCAGTGCTCGGCCCCTTGAAGCTTCAAGAAAGAAGACTCCTGGCATCTCCCTTTGTCCCCTGCCCCACGCCTAGTACTGAGCTAGCACAGCGGAAACTTTCCTAAAGGTCAGCACCTTAGGCAGAGTCCCGACATGAGGCTCCAGGGACACTCAGGACCTGCACGCCACATTTGTGCCCTGGGAACATGTCCTCTCGCACCACACAGGAGGCATGTGCATGGCCATGTGTGCACTTCACACCCGTTCCCGTGTGTGTAAGTGTGCAGTGGTACACGTACTGTGCGCCTGTGTGGGTGACAAGGACAGTGTGGAGATGCTTGGGGCACTGGGGTGCAGGAGAAGAAGGGGCAGGCAAGGCAGGGCTTGAAGGCCGGGGGAAGGGCAGGGGCGCCAGGGAGCCACGGCAGGCAGCAGGGTGATGGGATCCTGCACGGGTACAAAGCCGGGACCTGGGCCTGCCCCAGCTCTCCCTGACAGGCGGCTCGTGTCCCCCACAGTGAAGAGTGAGGATGAGGACGGAGACATGAAGCCCACTAAGGGGCAGGGCAGCCAGAGCAAGGGCAGCGGGGACGACGGCAAGGACCCGAGGCGGCCCAAGCGACCTCGCACCATCCTCACCACGCAGCAGCGAAGAGCCTTCAAGGCCTCCTTCGAGGTCTCCTCCAAGCCCTGCCGGAAGGTGAGGGGGCGCGGGGCTGCCTGTCCAGGTGCCACCTGCTTGACAAGGGGGGGGTTGCCCTCCCAGCTGCTGTCCCTGCAGACCTGACCTGTCCCCCTCTCTCCGGGCCAGGTCCGGGAGACGCTGGCGGCCGAGACAGGCCTCAGTGTGCGGGTGGTCCAGGTCTGGTTTCAGAACCAAAGAGCAAAGGTGAGAGGCTCCTGGGCAGGGCTGGGGTTCCGGGGGACAGGTGGAAGGTGGGTCCTGCTGTGAGGCTGGGTGGGTGGGAACAGAGGCTGGGGGCCTGGGGGGGCGGGAGGCCTGACCCGTGCTCCCCCTGCAGATGAAGAAGCTGGCCAGGAGGCACCAGCAGCAGCAAGAGCAGCAGAACTCCCAGCGGCTGGGCCAAGGTGAGCGGGCACAGCGGGCACCCTGCCAGGGCCAGCCTCAGGCCCTACCACTCTCTCCAGATCCCTGAGGACAGAGCCAGGGGCTTCCTCCTTGGAATCAGTGATACGCAGAGAACTTGAGAAGTGGTGGTGCCCAGGAAAATGGGGAGGAGATGGTGGCATGAACAACCAGGCCAGGAGGGCGGAATCTCCAGCCCACTCCCTGTCCTCCAGGCTGGGCACTGAGCGTCACTCTGCCCGACTCACTTCCTGTGCATCCCATCAGGAAGAGACTGGCCCAGCAGGGGACGGGCACCCTCCATCCCACTTTGGGGAGCTGAGGCCCCAGAAGATACGGGGCTGCTCAGCTGGGGGAGACAAAGCTGGGCCTCCGCCCAGAATGGGGTTCCAAACCTGCCCTTTAGCAGGGTGATCCTGCCCTGCTGCTCCCCACAGAAGTCAGTGCCAGGGCCCAGGGACAGTCGTCAGGGTTGGGCGGAGCGCTGGAAGGGGGAGGATGGGTGGCCCCTGTCCCCAGCCTTTGCTTTGCCAGGATGCTTTTCCCATGTCTGAGTCTTGGGCCAGCACTGTTCTCTGGGTGCGGGGGCCACTAAGACTTCATGGCCATGAAGGGAGGATGCAGGGGGCTCCAGGGACCCTGAAGCGTGTGGGGACTTCCTGCCCTGCCCTCCATGAAAGGGAATACACCTGGGAACACTCAAGGGCAGCCCTTCTCCAAGGGCCCTGGGACCAGGAAGTGTCCCAGGCTGGCCCTGGCTCTTAAGTACAGGACCAGGGAGCCCTGTGCTTCCTGCCATGTCCCTGTGCCTCTCCTGGGGCTGCAGTCACTGCCTCTGTGCCCCAGCCAGCCTCAGAGCTGCCACCCAGTGTCCCCACTCCCCCAGATGCTGCTACCAAGAGTGCCCTTGCCCCGGGCTCCTCACAGCCTGCTGTTGCCTGTCACGGCCCAGCGCCCGCAGTGCCTGGCCAGCCCTTTCTCTCCTGCCTACTCTGCCACCAGCCGGGTTTGGTTTTGTATCCTGCATCCTTTAATCCTGCATCCTTAGAAGGATCCAGACAGAAACCTTCCCCGAACTTCCTCTTCCCCACACTGTGGTCCCCAGCTGGACTTTCAGATGCTGTCTGATTTCCGGCTCCCCAGCCTGGCGTACCTCTTCCTGGTAGCTCTAGTCATGCTGGCGTGGGGCTCCCTCCTCCAGGAAGCCTTCCTGGGCCTCTTCCGAATGGGTCTGGCCTTCCCTTGGGTGCTTCCAGGTGCCAAGTATCCTGTGCTGTGCCCAGCTTCCCCACCTGCCAAGACGCTGAGGCCCCAGGCCCAGCTCCTGAGGCAAAGGAGGTGGGGGATGGGAGGAGCCTCTTAGCTTTGGGGAAACTGAGTCTGGGAGATGGGCTGGAGAGACCGTCTGAGGAGGGAGTGGGATGTCTGGGCCACCTGGCCAGTGACAGGTCCCTGGGTGTTCCCTAGAAAGTCACAAGGGGTCCCTGACCTGGGGGGCCATTTGTGGGGACTGCCAGGATGGGGCAGGCAGGCCATTTGGTGAAGGCATGCACTGTCCCCAGAGGTCCTGTCCAGCCGGATGGAGGGCATGATGGCTTCATACACGCCGCTGGCCCCGCCGCAGCAGCAGATCGTAGCCATGGAGCAGAGCCCCTACGGCAGCAGTGACCCCTTCCAGCAGGGCCTCACGCCGCCCCAAATGCCAGGTGACCACATGAACCCCTATGGTAAGCTTCCCCCCCACTGCCAGCCCCGCAATGCCCCCTGCCTGGCCCAGCGGCCCCGGGGCACCCACAGCCACCCACTGCCCCAGAGCCCAAGTATTCCTGCTTGTCACCAGCCACCGGCCATCCCTCGGGAGCCCCGGCTCGTAGCCCAGGCCTGACACCCCTTCTGCCCCCCAGGGAACGATTCCATCTTCCACGACATCGACAGCGATACCTCCCTCACCAGCCTCAGCGACTGCTTCCTCGGCTCCTCCGACGTGGGCTCCCTGCAGGCCCGCGTGGGGAACCCCATCGACCGGCTCTACTCCATGCAGAGTTCCTACTTCGCCTCCTGAGGGCAGCCGGGCTGCACGGACGCTTGGGCATGGCCTGGGCTGGGCTGGGACTCGGGCTCAGCCGCCTCCTCACCAGCCTGGCCAGGTGCCCGCAAAGACTCTGCAGACAGCCATATGGTGCCCTCCCCTCGGACAGCCGGGCCTGGTTCACGTGCTCAGTGGGCCCAGCCGGAAAGGCAGATGGGCGCGGCCTGGGAGGGGCTGTGTCCTGCCCACAAAGACCTTGTCACCCTGGGACAGCCCCTCGTCTCCCAGCCCCACCTGGATGCCATCGCCTCCTTCTCCCTCCCCGTCTCTTTTTTGGGAAGCTTAAATTCTCTCTATTTTTTTAAATGTCCTCTCTGTGTCCGGCCAACCTCCGTGGTTCCCGGAGCCAGCCCGTGACGATGTGGGGACTCCGTACCTGGGACCCGAGGAACATGTGTCCTGGTCCCACTGCGGAGCCCACGATCGCATGTCCTCCCAGCCCGAGCGAGAAGCAGAGGTGGGGAGGAGCCGGGCATAAGTGACAGGCCACCAGGGCCACCAGGGCTCTGCCTGAAGTGGAGGGGAGTGGACAGAGACCCATGCACACCTGCAGCCCTGCACACACACAGCACATGCACACGCACCCACACACCCATGTCCAGAGCCGAGGGAGGCAGTGGGGCTCTGTGACCACCCGGCCACATCAGCAAGGGGAACAGGGCGAGGGGTGCAGCTGGAGTGGTGAAAGGGGACAGCAGCAGGGTGGTGGGAAGGATGCAGCTGTGTCCGGGCCTCAGCCCAGCTGGAGCCACCTGGGCAGGGAGGGCAGCCCCGCCCTCCAGCTGGAGTCAGGCTCACAGCAGGAGCTCCAGGTAGCTAAGTACCTGCTCTGAGCAGCCTCTGCACCTCCTCCCTGCCCCCATGATGGCTCTCACGGCCTCTGCCAGCCTGGGTCGGGGCCCTTCCCTGCCCATTTGCCTCTGCCTTTCCCAGCCCTCAGTTTTGCTTCTCAAAGCCAGGCTTCCCGGGTTCTCTAGCTCCTCCCCCCCCCCCCCACACACACACCGGGCTCCAGCTTCCTCTCTAAAGACGTGCAGCAGGCAGCTCTAAACTGATTTTCTCCCTGACAAGTAGCGGGCCTCGGAGATCAGGCCCATCACCTCCTCTGCTTTCGGCACCCCACCTCTGCTAATGTGGCCAGAGAGCTAGTGAGTGGTTTGGGCCATGTGACCTTGGAAAGTTACACTGCCCTTTTGTAACGAGTCCCCTAGGCCTAGGACCCAAGTGACAGCTGTGCTACACCTTTTTGTGTGTAGGTAAGCGGGGAGGGAGAGACTGTGGCTTGTTTCCTTACTTGATTCCATTACCTGTGGCCCGCTCTGTGACCACTGGTCCTCCCTCCCCAGCGCTGTAAGTGACGAGCTGGCGCTCGTGTCTCCCTGAGGCGTGGGGCCGTGGGAGCCTCTCACTGCCTGGCATTGGCCTTGGCCCATGGACTCCCACACATCTCTGCCTCCCTGGCCCACGAGGGCTGCAGACTATGCATCCTCGCCTGTCTCCTCCATTCTCCCCCTGCAGAGAGGATGTGAGGGCAGCTGACAGCCTGTCCCAGTGACCCCACACTGGCCCTGCTAATCACTGTGCCTCTCTGGGTGCTTCGACCCTACTCTGACTTCCAAATCCAGACTTTGAGCCCTTGAGGGTGAGAAGTGTCTCCCACACCTTGCAGCTCCATTTGCAGCCTGTGCCACCTCCTGCTGGCCCCAGGCCCCCATGCTCGCACCCCACCTGGTCACCACCAGAGCTGTCAGAAGGGAGTTTGTGACCCCAGCAGCTGGCCAGGCCCTCCTTTGTTCCTCTTGTCACACAGAGAACATGGCCAAAGCCTCAGCTCATGTCCTCTGTCCTCTGGGCTGGATCTGGAATCCTTTAGATCCCACCCACATGACACAGCTGGCAGACCTGAGCCAGGAGAGGGCAAGTTAGGGGCCGGGCCCTTCTTCCTCCTTTTAGGAGCCCTGGCTTCTCCTGCCTCCACACAGGGGCCCCAGCCAGGAGCTAGTATCGGGACACCCATGGTGTGACCTCCAGGTTGTCAGAGCCGCAGAGGCCCCAGAGAGCCCCCATGCCCGAGGCACCATTAGCTGTGCTCCCAGGCCAAAGCTCTTCCAGGAGAGGCCAAAGCTCTGTCCCAGTCCTGGCCAGAAGTTAAGAGACCCATTTCTCAGGTGCAGGAGCCCCGGAGGCTTGGGGATGGAGGGCTCTGTGGGGTTTGGGGTAAGTGCGGGAAGATGCAGGATCACCCCATGACTGCCCTGAGGGGCGCCCCTCTACTGGGGTGGGGTGGCTGGGGCAGAGCCCAGGGGAGGAGGGAGGAGCTGGGTCTGCTCTGCAGGAAGAGGCAGAAGGTGAGAAGGGCCAGGGCGCTGTGGAGAAGAGCCACGCTCTGTCTACCTGCTGGGGACTTCGAGCGCAGACAGGGGAAGCCAGGCTTTGGTCCAGCCAGGGGCTCTGTGGTTCTGGGACCTCACAGCGGCCGCAGGGACAGAGGGACCCTGTGGTCGTGAGGGTCAGACCAAGGGGCAGGCGGAGCCTTAGGAGAAGGGCCACACCTGGGGGCTACCGTGGAAGGAGCTTCCCGCGCACACGTACACACGCACACTCACACCTGCCACACTTGGAGACACACGACCCACACTCACAGGACCTGGGGCCAGGGGAGCAGCAAGGACCGGCCCACACGCTGACCCCTGGAAGGTGACATCACCAGCGAGCTCAGTGCAGCAGGCGGGGACCGGCCGGACGCGCCCCACTCCCCTTGTACAGACTCCATCACTGCCACCCGCCTCCCCACACACATTTTATTTAATAACTTGTCATTGTTAAATTATTTATTAGCGTTTACCACTCTCACCCTGCCTTCCGCTCTCACCTTCCGCCTCTTCCCACAAGAGCAGAAAACGGAAGCAGAAACGAGCAAAGACAAGACGTCGGTATATTTGTAAATAAACCAACCTGTACACGGTGTGCTGCCTCTGCTTGGGAGCGGCCTGCTCCAGGCCTGCCGCGATGCCAGGGCAGATTCCTCGGTGGCCACCAGGGACAGCCGGTCAAGGAGGAGGCGGGCCTGGGTCCCATCATCCCGTTCCCTCCCAGCCCTGAACGTCTCCAGTCTGAAGAACAGTGTTCAGCCCATCTTTAGGTCACACCCCACGCCTCAACTTCCCTGCATTCTCTCTGCATGCCGCCGGTGTTGGTGAGCAGTCCCTTAAGTGTCACGGACTGACTTTGGTCCCTGAGAATCAAGGATTGATAGCCCAGCCCTAAGCACAGTAGTGGGATGTGGGAGCAGATGAGGTACAATTGGTTCAAGGGTTCCGGTCTCACCTAAACGCCCGGGCCCACGGAAGGCTTCCTGGAAGAGGCTGCGTTTGAAGCTGAGATCTGAAGTTACCGGGGAGCAGGTGTGGGGGAGGCTGTCTCGGGGGTGTCCCGGGCTTGTAGGAAACCTCAGAGGAGGGTAATCTCGTGAGTCTCCTGCACTGAAAGGGTAGCTAGCTTGAGGGCCAGGCCCCTGGGGTTTTACCACTGCGTGGAGCACTTGGGATTGGCTCAGGCTGACTGTCTGGAGGCCAACTGGGCCACCGAGGGGAGAGGTGACCACAGCTTTGACGAGGCCATAGAGCTCACCGGGAATGGGACACTGCAGACCAAGGTGGCGAGCTGAGCCTAGGCGGTCACGAGGCCTCCGTGCTGACCACGGCCATGCGGCCAGGGGAGCTGGAGCAGGTCTGCTTCCCTGCGTGGGTTCCTTCAGGTCTCAGGGCTCCGCCAAGGCCCTTCAGGGCTGTGTACGGACCCGTGTGTCTGCACCTCAGTGTGTCCTTGGGGCCGCCTGTCCACACACCCGCTATGCTATGTCCCTCCTCCTGCCCCTTCCCAGGATCCCTCACTCTTGTGCTTGGGGTCTCCCCACACCCTCTCTTGGCAGCTCTATTCGAGCCTGTGAGCACCAGCGCCCCCTAGGGGCAGGTTTGGACCTGAAGCCTCTTTGGAGTTCCTTGATCAGTCCATGTGATCTGAGACTTTGGTGCATTTCTTCATTGGTACCTAACAACCTTGAGACGCTGGACCCCATGTTCCTGAAGGGAGAATGAGGTTTAGAGGAGGAAGTAACCAGCTCAGTGTGACAATGCTAACAAATTTAGCAGAGCCAGGATTGGAAGCCAGGTTTTGCCACTGTTCTCCCCAGCCCACAGTCTAACCCTGCAGCTGGTCCTTTGAGGTGAGGTCAAGGGACCCAGGGACAAAGAAACTCTCCCACCTTCAGCTGGTGCTTCAGAGAAACCAAGTTATTCAACCCAGACTGCACAGCACAAGAGCAAGACTAACCAGATCTTAACATCCAAGGCCCAGGCCTGGACTCCTGCAGGGAAGGACATGCCAGGACCCTCTTGTGGGGAGGCTCCCCACACCACCCCCCTCTGGCAACTGGCTGCCAACTCTCTTGCCTATGGCAGCTGTTTAAAATCCTGTCACTTAAAAATGCAGGGGGGGAGGGCCGTGCTAACCCATCTCTCCCCAGCACCTGCCTTTGCCCCCTCCAGGGATGAGGAGGAGATTCAGGTTGAGATCCTGGGATGACAGAGGGCAGGGGAGAAAGGCCCTTCTCAGAGTCCCCCTTCCCTGGGCAGGTTTGGCTTCTGCGTGTCCGCAGACTCTGTGCTGGCAGATCTTGGTCCCAGACACCAATGAATACACAAACCCTGTGCCTGGCTTTACCTTCGAGCAACACCTCCGGCTGCCTGGAGGGTACCTAGGTCACGCACCCCCTTCCTGGTCGTCCCAGGACCCAGTGCACCTGGGCAGAATGTGAGGCGTCCAAGAAGGCCATAAGGGCTCAGCATCGGCAGTGCAGTCCGCCAGGTCATGGAAACCACAGAAAGTGCCCTGGAGGAGGAAGCTTGGCCAGGACTGGGCTGTGAGCTTAAGGTATCTAGCAGAGGGGACACAGAAAGGACCAGTGTCGAGGGGCAGGTGCAAGAGCTTGGAGTCTGAAAGTCAGAGGTGCCGAGGTGACCTCCCAGGGCTGCAGTGCCCACACAGAGCTAGGGGCAGGCTGCAGGGAAAGGGCCTGACAAACTCCCATTCAGCTGACAATTAAGGCAGGCACGGTGAACGCCTGAGGAACACCTGCAGCGTATGTGTTCTCCAGCGTGCGTATTTACAACCTGCAGAGAAATAGTAAAACAAAACCTAGGCAAGCCTGGAGCGCACACCTCTAACCCTAGGACTCTGGGAGGCTAGGCAGGAGGGTCATAAATTCAAACCCAGACTCTACAACTTAGAGACCTAGTGAAACTCTCTGAGAAAAAAAATTAAATTAAGGTCTGGGGTGGAGCTCAGGGTGAAGTCCCTGGGTTCAAACTCCCAGATCAGAAAACAAGAAGGAAAGAAAGAAGAAAATAAAAGAAAGAATCTTGTGCCCATTCCCTAGATATATAAAAGGAGCATTTTCAATTCCTGGAGCCCCCGGTGTGACCAGCCAGGGCCCAAGAGCTGCTGTTTTCTTTGTTTAGAAAACTGCTCAGGTGGCTGGGGATTTAGCTCAGCGACATAAGCGCCTGCCTTGCAAGCAGGCAGTCGTGAGTTCAATCCCTGGTACCGATAAAAATGAAAAAGACAAAAAAAAAAAAAAAAAAAAAAAAGAAAGAAAGAAAACTGCTCAGCCACCGTGATGTAAAGAAATTTCTCAGCACAGAGTGTGGCAGAGACAGACCAACAGCAAGCGTCCTCTGGTAAGGCGCCCCTTTGCAGCAAGATGTCCTGGGGTTTTGCATAGGCAGCACCCGGCTTCACTTCTCACTCCCTGGTCAACCTCAGGGCGCTCTGCTACTAAACCCCGGCCGGACAGATCAGAGCTTTTGATTTGAATTTCATCACTCCTCCGGCAATCACGCAACAGGCCACGAGGTGGCGGTAGGGAGTCAGGCAGGGCGGTCCGGAATCAGGCAGGTGAGTGTCACCGCGGCCGCGCGCCGGGACAACCTAGGCTTTGGATGCGGTCACAGAGGGCAGCGGCAAAGGGCCTCTCCCAAGCTCCTGCGTGCCTGGCATCCTGTGAGTGCTGCCAGGAAGGATCTGTAGATTCCCCACCGCACCCCAGGGGAGCAAGAGCGCGCTCCCCATATGATCATGTCCATCGCTGCGTCTCACCACTGGGGGGCACCTGACCTGGCGATGGCGAGGCACCCCGCACGCATTTAGACCAGGGTAGCTGCTAGGGGTCGTGTTTCCCGTGACCGGCCCGCGCATGCTCAGAGACTGACAAGCGGACAGACGCCCCAGCTCCCATGACCCCAGGGCCGCTTAGGGGAGGCGTCACGGCTGAACAACAGGAGATTGTCCCTGCCGTCCAGCCAGGCCTGAGTCTCTGGCCAGAACACCCTGTGGCCTCGTTTTGGTCCAAGTTGGGCTTCTTCATGGATCACAAGTTACTGGGACGCTTGCAGCCATGTTCCTGCCCTTGTGGGGGTACCCTGGAGACTGGGGCTGATTCACTGGCAGAGGGGCAGGGAAAGAGGGACAGAGGCAGCCCCAGGGCCTCAGTTCATGGAAGAATTAAGGAGGGAAAAAGAGACCAATATGTCTTTTATTGCTTAAGAAAGTCTGAGTCTCTATTACTTGTCATCAGAGTCCTGACTAGAACCCATATCATGGCATAGTTATTGAGCAAAGAAATGAGAATATTTCCATGATTCTGACATAAAAATCAGTGCTTGAAAAAATCAGTAGTTAAGACGATTCCTCACTGAGCACATTCCCGACAGAAGGGCCCTGCACCTTCTCCCCTCTTTAACCCTATTTGCTGTTACTATTGCTAAATAACTGAGGCTGAGTACTTTATTAAAAAGGTTTCATTAATTTACAGTTTTGGAGGCTAAAAGTGCAAACAAAATATCTGCTTTGGTTTAGATTATGCAGAAGATGGCATCATGGTACAGAGAGTGAGAGAGAGACAGAGGGAGAGAGGGAGAGAAGCCAGAGGTCAGGCTTGCCCTTGTGACAACTCTTGCGACAGCTAGCCAAGATCCTGCAAGAACTGTGTCAGTTCCTCCCCAGGACAGCACCCTGAATGACCTATGTACTTCCCATTAGGCCTTGCGTCCTGAAGGTACTATCACCACACACAGCGTGTCTAATCTGCAACACAAATCCTTGGAGGAAATCAGACAAACTGTATCCAAATCACTGCACTCCTCCCAATTCTGACTAACACATTAGTTTCAGTATGAAGTGCCCCCAAAGACTCATGCATTGAAATGCAGCAATATTCAGGAACGGGCCCTAGAGAGGCAATCACTGGGCTACAGGGGCACTGACCTCATCCATGGATTAACTCACTACTGAGTTCCTAGCTGAATGGGTTTATAAGCAGGGGCCCCTTTGGGGGAAGTAGGTTGCTAGCAGCGTGGCTTTGAGGGATATATCCTGTCCCCAGCCCCTTCCACTCTGGGGTCTCCTGCTCTTATTCTGCCTCCTGGCTGCCATGAGGCAAGGGAGCTTTGCTCTGCCAGGGTATTCCTGCCTTGGGGCCAGCTGACATGGACTCAACCCCTGAAACCAGGAGCCAAATGAAACCCCTCCTCCTCTATTTTTTAATTTTTAATTTTTTTATTTTGAAAATAGTAAAATAAAACAAGACAGAACAAAGCCAATCGAGACAATGCAGTGAAATTGGTACAGAACTTCAGAGCAGGATACAACAGTAAGGTACCATCGTATATGTCGCTGTCCTCACAAAGTTGTCCATTCAATCAGGCACAGCAAAATCAAACCAAAAAGAGAACATTATAAAACCTATCAAAACTGAATATTGAATAGAGCAAAACAGTTAATGGGAACAAAGCAAAACAGTGGAAACAATATTTACCTTCAAAGAGATTACAGAAGGAAATGTCCCATATTTGCTATGTTGCATATGGTCATCCTCTCAAGAGATGCTCAGACCTCTGGCCTCAGGT